CCCCGCCTTTATGGCTGCATGGAGAAGTTTGGGGGTGGCCGGCTGTAAAACCGCTCAGTTCTACTGTAAAACACACACAAGCACCCAGGCTCCCATGAACCCCAGTTTCCAATCACCCAGCTGTCATACTTAACTACAAGAAACTAAGCCTGGTCTCTTTCCACGTGGAAAATCCAAGGACAAAACTATGAGACTAATGACTTAATTAACTAAGTACTAAATGGCGCTGACAATAAGCTGAGATGAGGACACACAGCTCCCCGGTCAGTTGTGAGATGTGGGCATCATATGCAGAGAGAAGCATCCGAGGTCTGGTCTGGACCTAGAATGAATGAGGTGTCCGTGTGATGCAATAAAAGGAATGTGTTCTGGCGGGAACGGAACGAGTAAGAGGTAAAGATTTTCTGTGCCAAAGGGAAATGAGACCAAGTCTGAGAAAATAAACTACAGAAACCCTTCAACCTATGACCTTCCAATAATATTTACTGCTGCTGCCCTGTGCCGGACCTTAGCACTGGGGAGAAGGCAGGGAAGAAGCCCAAGTTAATAAAATAATTCAAATGGGGAAGATGAAAAAATAAATAAACTAAACGAGGTAATGGGAAGGAGACCCCTGGGATACAGCGGACACCACATTAGAGGAGGTAAAGTCACTACAGATCATGTGGAAAGGGCAAGGCAATAACTCCTTTAGGGCCTGAGTCCCGGCCACTTACTGCTGCCACCGGCAGGGACAGACGCAGCCACGGGTGACGCATAAACCACCATAAACCAAGTACAGGCGTCAGGTACAGAGCGGGACTAGCTTCCTAACTGCCCGAGGGACTAGCCCCCGCTTCTACCCACGGGAAACGCACAACGTGGTTCCCCGGCCCCACGCCCTTACCCAGCAGGCACAGTGTGTGCATGCCGTTCTGTCTGTTCTTCTTCACTTTGTCAAAGAAGCTCTCCGGTCTCCACGTGTCGGTCCAGAAAACAATGGACACCGTCTCTCCGAACTTATACAGCTAGAAAAAAACACACACAGCCCGAATTAACGCAGGACAGGGCGCCGGGGGCCAGTTCACAGACGACAACCGAAATAAAAAGCGAGAAGCGGGCTTGAGGCGGGTGGGTTCCAGCAGTGTGTGTGTGAGATCTGAGTGAGATGTGAGAGCCCAGCAGTGTGAGTGTGAGTGTGTGTGTGTGAGATCTGAGTGTGAGATGTGTCTCCCTCGAATGCTCGTTGTCCTTGGAAAATCTATACAGCTAATGCTATACTTTACTCATCTGTGTGTGATCCTCCGGGGCTGCCTACCATGGTATATACTAGGCTTGGCCCAATAGCGGTCATTCAATAAGTACATGCGAACTTAAATGAGGCCCCAGGTGACTCCATGATGAGCTCTCCGGTTGGAGGGTCTGGCTCCATGGCGTCTCATACAGGGTGGGGCAGAGGAGGGTTACAGTTGTGAGAAATCGAAACAGTTTCTTCTTGTGTTGTTATTTATTAATTATTTTTCCATCCGAGTAACTGTAACCCTGCTTTTGCCCCACCCTGTGTTTTCAGGGACCCAGGTACCTGGCTCTTCTCCTCGTGCTCGCTGGTTTCGAATCACTTCCAGCAGCTGCTGGGCCGCCTGGTTCACGGTCATGTAGCGAGGAGGCTCGTAGATCTTCCTGCCCCTGGGGTAGAACACAGGCTGCGGTTGGTCTTAGCCGTGAAATGCACTGTGCGTATGAACGCAGCACCCCCAGGTACACTCAGGGACCACACCGGGCTGCTTGAAGCTCGGATGACATTCACCTTACGCCGCCGTGAAAGCACCGACTCAGTGGATTCTCCTCGGTGCCTCAAGCTTTGCTCACTGTTCTACTGCACGTGCCCTCTCGCTCACTGACATGTTGGCAGAAAAGAAAGTCCAGCAACTTGAAGATAAATGCCTAAAAGTTACCTTCATTCAAAGTGACACCTTAGGCAAAAATCATCCAAAATGAGTGCCAATTTGTTCTGTATCTCAGCTTAATTGGGTCCAATCACGTTCATTTTCATTACCATGTTTGACCCCCAAGTTCCTCTCTTCACTTCCTTCGCTAACAAAACAAACAGTAAACTTGAACATCTTGGAGAATAAGACATGTCTACATCTGTGTGACTCAGAAGCCTACAGTGTTCGCTCAGTGATCGGAATAAAAACAGAGCGTGGCAGCTTACAAAACAGTTGCTACAGATTATTTTATGACTTTCAAACAATCCTGAGGCAGCTGTCTGAAAGAAATATAGCGCAAGCCACAAGCATCATTTTATATTTTCCAGTAGCCACATTAATAATGGAAGTTTTAAAAGGACAAAATCAATTTCAATAATGTTTTATTTAACCCAATGTATCCAAAATGTTATATTTCAACATCCACTCCTATAAAATTATTAGAGTTATCTTGTACCGAGTCTTTGAAATCTGTTACGAAGTCTACGCTCATAGCACATCTTGATCCAAATGCTAAATTTTCACTGGGAATACTTGCTCTGCATTTAGATTTCATAAAATGCATGGCTGTTGATAGATTTACACGTTGAAGTTGTTCGAAATCAACTGAAGTTTTCCAATAGCTGAGCCAATATTAGTTTTAAATGAATGAAGTTATAGATTCGGTTCCTCAGGGACACTAGTCCTACGTCACGTGGGAAGGAGCCGCATCTCTAAGCGAGAAAGGACTGTCACTTTACCTTCGTGAGAAGAATGAGGCTCAGAGACGGAAGTTACCTGCCTGAGAGCCATAACCATGGGCAGACTGAGGCCTCACACCCCTGTCTTCTGACGCCTCATTCATTCATTCATTCATTCATTCGTTCATTCCACAAAGAGTGCCAGGTGCTGACCACCGACCACATGCTCACAAGTGAGCCCGTCAAGCCCACTGCTGGTTCTGCTCCATCACACGCCTTATCACTTCGTAAGATGACAAGTGGTCCAATTCTAATGGTAAGGAAAGCTGGTTTCGACAGTCTTAGAACCCGTGTCCCTGAGGCAGGCCCTATGGACTTGCTAAGGGATTAAAAGCATTCCCAGAGCAGGACTTACTTGATTAGGTTTTCCAGCGACTGCTCCTTTACTTTGATGTCTGTAGGAAATTAAAAAAAAAGTTACCTTTGGGTGTGATTAATCCCTCTATCCAGCGTCCTACGTGTGAACCTAAGTTTTGGGGCAACACTCTTCTCAAGTTTCCAAAAAGCTCATGAGCTTGTATTGAGCCTCTCTTCAACGGAACCACGTGGTTGTGTGCAGGGAACTAGTCAGGAAACAAACCCAGGTTGGTCCCGAGGCCATCCTGAGGGGCTCGAGATCCTCTGGGGAGAGAAGACACAGGGAGGAGTCTGACAAACACCGGCATGCGCGGCCCCTAACTCTGAATCTGCAGCTTTGCGTCCACTTCTCCCAGCTGGTGAGCAGTGGGTGTGCTCCTGTCCTTGCCTCGGTTAGTCGTTAGTCTCAGTGCATGCTTGGTCGCAGTGCACCTAACACACACAGCAGGGAATTCTGACTGCATGCGGGAAGCGGCGTTTGCCTTCCTCTGAAGGGTCAGACGTGCCCTGATAACTTAAGAAGAAACGCTTTGATACCTACAGTCAAAAATGATCAGGGCTTTCCCGGCACTAACCTGGGCCAGGCCCAGGGTGCCACGGAGGCTGCCGCCCGGGTCCACCCCCAGGAAGCCCGGCCGTCCGCACATCACACACTAGGTGCTCTGGCGCTCGGCTGCACTAGTTGGTAAACGGTAGAAGGCAGACTCCCTCCCGGCCTCAGAGGAACTCGGAATACAGTGGCAACAGCTGCTTCCTCTCCACAGGCTCACAACACGCAGGTCAGCCAGAGTTTGCTTTTGCAACAATAAACAGAGCGCAGCGGAGGGCTTGCGATGGCCCCTTCAGTGCTCCCAAGTGAGCGTGAACGTTTTTCTTAGAAAGGGTACTTACTGTAAGGTTTTTCAGAATTGAACCCATTCATTCATTCATTCACCTGGAGCTTCTAAACTGGCATTTGCTATAGTAAAGATTGTAATTTAAGATTTCCTTTCTTTTTTTTTATGCTATGCTCTACAGAATTGTATTTGAAAAACGAAAAGGATTGCCCTGTCCAGTTTGGCTCAGCGGTTGGCATCAGCCCGCAGACCGAAGGGTCGCAGGTTCAATTCCTGGACAAGGGCACATCCTTCAGTTGCAGGTTCATCCCGGCCCCTGTCGGGGCACACGTCGATGCTTCTCTCTCTCTCCCCTCCTCTTCTACCTCTCTTCCCTTCTCTCTAAAAAACCAATGAGAAAAAAAAATATCCTCAAGTGAGGATTAAAAAAAAATGAAGAGGCTTGGGAGAATTTTTATAGGTAAATGCTTTGAAATTGAATGTAAGTGGTTTCATCTCAAGCCAGACCTGCCTAGTATTTGTCCTTGTTGCGATACAGGCCGCAGTCCCTCCTCTCCTACGCGCTGGCACAGGAGCTTCTGCTCAGCTCAGAGCCAGGAGCCAGCGTGGCACAGAGGGCAGACACTGCACACACACCTCCTGAATAGGTGTGCTCTCGGCTCGCCTACCACCCACCAC